GTCACTTTAAAGTGAAATGAAAGTTCTTGTTTAGAAAGACCAGCTTCTCAACCCTGTCTGCTGACATACAGTTTCCCTTTTTATCCATTATGTTGGAGACAGCACTGTCCACACTTGTGCACAGGCAGAGAGATACCTTTGAGCAATTCCCACCAGTGAGGGAAATCATGCAGCATTGTCCCTCCAGTAAGTGAAAGGATTTTGAGCTCGTAGAACGGTTTGCTCAATCAGGTATGTTTGCACCTGAACCAGTAAAGATTACAGAGTCACAGATCTTTAAACACACCACCGAGGCTGGTGTCTGTGCTTAGACGTGGGTCCTTACTAGACTGTTGCTCTTCTGGCACATCACTGGTGGATCTGCTTACCTCCTCCATCTTCTCAGTATCTAGAAAAAATAAATAAATAAATAAAAAACAAGAATGAATTTCAATAAATTGCATATTTTTATAAATTGAAACAACTAATGAATTTGATCCACTAACAACATATTAAAAATATACATTTAAGAAACTTGTCTGTCTTTGTATCTTGGATCCACCAATGAGGCCACTGAATACAGTGGATCACTTTCAATGTGGCTGAAGCGTCATTCCACTGCCTCCAATAGGGTCTTTTTCATAGTCTTAACTCTTTCAGAGTGGCCTTCCCTCTGGAAAGAAGACGCTTCAGGGCAGCAAGTGCAGGAATCACATCAGCTGTAGTGGCTGTTTCAGCACTGACAGCTCTGGCTAGCTCCTCGAATGGAGCTAAGATCTCATCACTCCATTAGTCCCCACTGGTTCACTGCTAAAATATCTGGGAAGTTGTGCTCTGCAGCATAAACGCTCATCTTACTTGGACATCTTGCAGTAAGCGCTTTACCGGTACTTTCATCTCAGTTTGGATGTCTTATAGTTTTGAGTATGCCAAAGTTGAGTGCTTAAAATGACCAATGACATTTCTGGCATTGGCAAGTGCATCTATAATACTGTGTTGTGAGAGCAAACCCTCATGCACAGCCAGCTGGAGTGAGTGAGCAATGGAGCCCAGACTTGGCACGCCCAATTCATCCATTGCCTTCTTCATGTTCCTGTCACGTAAAATGAAATGCACACATTATTTGTCTGTTCCCCACTCATTCAGCATCTCTAAAATGGCTTATCTGACATGTTCTGCTGTATTATCCCCGTGGAACTGATCAGCATGCAGAACAGCATTCTTTCAATCATACGTTTCGGGAATAACCCAGTGTACCATGAGGCTCAGTAGGGACATAGGGCAAACATCTGCACTCCAAATATCAGTAGTGAAACTAACAACAACGTTCCGGTTCAATTGACTTTGTATTGTGTCCTTTACTTTGCAGTACAGCTGTGGTATGGCTGTGTCAGCAATGTAGTGTCTCAACGGCAGAGCATAGCGCGGGTCCAAAACTTCCAAAAGATGAGTAAGTCCGACATTCTCTACTAGTGAGATGCGCTGGTGTTCAAGAGCAATAAATTCCACCAACCTTCCAATTTGTGGTGTTACAACAGCAAATTGTTATAGCAGAAGTGGTCACACAATGTGGCCCTTAGAAAGTGGATAAAAATAACAGAATAAGTGACAGATTTAATAAAATAAACAAATATGTACTGCACTGTATAGTGTTTTTACAATATAAATGCTCTGTATCTGGAGAGTAATTAATTTATAAACAGCTGTGGACATTTTTACAGTAACGGATATGTGAAAAATAGCATTAACATCAGAGAAGTGCAAAATGACAGCAGCGTGATATTTAACTGACTAAGATGGAAACTGTGCAAATATCTGAATGAATCTATGAGAAATGTGTAAGGTCAGTTTGAGGTCCAAGATATGACACTAAGTGGTTTCTTCTAACCAAGAATCGATTAAGTGTTCCATAGCTCATACAGCATAAGACAATGCTAATCTTGTAAAACAGTACTGTGACAAACCCCAAAGAGCAGTTTCTTTCGAACAGATTAAATACATTGACATGCAAGTCGTAAAAAGGACAATGATGCAACTGTATTGAGATTTTTAAGATAAATAGCTGATGGTTCATGTGCAGTTCACTTTCTAAAAAAAATTGAAAGAAAAAATAAAACTGTACAGTGGCATGACACAAACTGTACTTGGCGTCACACAGAACTCAGTCCAGAGGAAAAACTGCAGAGCCAAAATGTGATGGAACTCAATGCTGGAGCCCACAAGATACTGGACCTCGACTTTGATCTTCGTAGAATGCATCCTGCTCAAAAGCTAATGAGCTATCGTCAGAAGACCTTTCCAATAGCCATCTCAATTGTAACACTTGCAAATGGGATGTTCCAAACATAAGAATCAGTGATCCAAACCATGTCAAGAGACGTAATCTAGAAAGAAATTGGGGGTGTAGTGGTGAATGTGTATTTGAAATAATTAATGGAGAGTACCCTGGCTGTCCTAATTTGAAATCTACATCTACTGGGAGAAAAGACATCCGCTTTTGACTTAGCTCAACTACAATCTTGCAAGAAGTTATTGTAAAGAAATGTGATAATAATAATACCATATTTACTCACATTCTTATAATAATTTCACATCCTTAGAGAAGATATACAGCAAAATACAGTCATATGTTGATCAAAGTAGCATTTCTGTGAGAAATGACAGTTTGAGGTGCAAGATAACGAAGCATGTAGCCTCTCGATGAGGATGGGACTCGAACCCACGCGTGCAGAGCACAATGGATCTGTTTCTTTCGAACAGATTAAATACATTGACATGCAATTCGCAAAAATGACAATGATGCAACTGTATTGAGATTTTTAAGATAAATAGCTGATGGTTGATGTGCAGTTCACTTTCTAAAAAAAATTTAAAGAAAAAATAAAATCCAGTCCATGTTTTCTCGGTCACCACTCCAATCCAGGTAATTGCATCCATATAAACAACATAGCAAGAAATGCTGCTGAGCCCTTGACAATCAATCAACAGAGAGTAACCCACAAAACTGTACAGTGGCATGACACAAACTGTACTTGGCGTCACACAGAACTCAGTCCAGAGGAAAAACTGCATAGGCAAAATGTGATGGAACTCAATGCTGGAGCCCACAAGATACTGGACCTCGACTTTGATCTTCGTAGAATGCATCCTGCTCAAAAGCTAATGAGCTATCGTCAGAAGACCTTTCTTTCCAATAGCCATCTCAATTGTAACACTTGCAAATGGGATGTTCCAAACATACGAATCAGTGATCCAAACCATGTCAAGAGACGTAATCTAGAAAGAAATTGGGGGTGTAGTGGTGAATGTGTGTTTGAAATAATTAATGGAGAGTACCCTGGCTGTCCTAATTTGAAATCTACATCTACTGGGAGAAAAGACATCCGCTTTTGACTTAGCTCAACTACAATCTTGCAAGAAGTTATTGTAAAGAAATGTGATAATAATAATACCATATTTACTCACATTCTTATAATAATTTCACATCCTTAGAGGAGACATACAGCAAAATATAGTCATGTGTTGATCAAGGTAGCATTTCTGTGAGAAATGACAGTTTGAGGTGCAAGATAACGAAGCATGTAGCCTCTCGATGAGGATTGGACTCAAACCCACGCGTGCAGAGCACAATGGATTAGCAGTCCATCGCCTTAACCTCTCGGCCACCTCTTCTCCGAATACTGCTGAGACCTCAAAGAGGTCGAGCGTTTACAAATAAATGGATTTAACTTGCTATGTCCAATGTCTTTGAGAAGAAATCGTTGTGACAGGTCACTCGTGGCCGAAGCTTGAGGGGAATTAGCTCAAATGGTAGAGCGCTTGCTTAGCGTGCAAGAGGCAGCGGGATCGACGCCTGCGTTCTCCATTCAATGTCCTTTCCAGTCACACAAATCTTTTCTTCAATTATAGCGAAGGCTTTCAATGGGTTTCACCTGCAAAGTCAGCGCTCAGTGTTTCTTTGTACTCATTTCCATTATAGCGAGTTCAAAGTGAAAGAAAGGAGAAATCAAGACTTTATTTCTACTTTGTCACTTTCTTGATAATGATATGTGTTTCTTACAACATATGTTGATCAAAGTAGCATTTCTGTGAGAAATGACAGTTTGAGGTGCAAGATAACGAAGCATGTAGCCTCTCGATGAGGATGGGACTCGAACCCACGCGTGCAGAGCACAATGGATCTGTTTCTTTCGAACAGATTAAATACATTGACATGCAATTCGCAAAAATGACAATGATGCAACTGTATTGAGATTTTTAAGATAAATAGCTGATGGTTGATGTGCAGTTCACTTTCTAAAAAAAATTTAAAGAAAAAATAAAATCCAGTCCATGTTTTCTCGGTCACCACTCCAATCCAGGTAATTGCATCCATATAAACAACATAGCAAGAAATGCTGCTGAGCCCTTGACAATCAATCAACAGAGAGTAACCCACAAAACTGTACAGTGGCATGACACAAACTGTACTTGGCGTCACACAGAACTCAGTCCAGAGGAAAAACTGCATAGGCAAAATGTGATGGAACTCAATGCTGGAGCCCACAAGATACTAGACCTCGACTTTGATCTTCGTAGAATGCATCCTGCTCAAAAGCTAATGAGCTATCGTCAGAAGACCTTTCTTTCCAATAGCCATCTCAATTGTAACACTTGCAAATTGGATGTTCCAAACATACGAATCAGTGATCAAAACCATGTCAAGAGATGTAATCTAGAAAGAAATTGGGGGTGTAGTGGTGAATGTGTGTTTGAAATAATTAATGGAGAGTACCCTGGCTGTCCTAATTTGAAATCTACATCTACTGGGAGAAAAGACATCCGCTTTTGACTTAGCTCAACTACAATCTTGCAAGAAGTTATTGTAAAGAAATGTGATAATAATAATACCATATTTACTCACATTCTTATAATAATTTCACATCCTTAGAGGAGACATACAGCAAAATACAGTCATGTGTTGATCAAGGTAGCATTTCTGTGAGAAATGACAGTTTGAGGTGCAAGATAACGAAGCATGTAGCCTCTCGATGAGGATGGGACTCGAACCCACGCGTGCAGAGCACAATGGATTAGCAGTCCATCGCCTTAACCTCTCGGCCAAAAATGGGGCAAAAGGGACTGCTAGAGGTAGGGGAAAAAGAAGGGAGAAGGGGGAAGAAGGGGGGGAAAAGAAAAAAGAGAGAGGGAAATCTGAAGTTTCTACTTAAGTACATTTTTCAGCATCATTCATGTCCATTGTTGTAATAATACCTGTTTTATGCTCCACAAAGCATTTTTACACTAATTTCAAGTTCAATATAGCATAACATCCAAATTATTGTTAATTCTGAACTACTGAATTACTATACTATTGATATTATCAGTTTTTAGAAGGCCAACAAAATTATAGAACACACAAATAAATGATCAGTGACATTTATTCACTCTTACACAACTACAATCACAGAGAACTAACAATATATGTAGACATGTATAAAGCAGCACCTAAAAGCTCACTAAAAACATACAAATAGTAACAGAGAGAACAATAGAGAACAAAAGATATTTTAAATATAGAATATAAAACTATCAGTGAGCCAAGCTAGAGCACCCTTCAGTATTCTTGTATTGCATGCAACTTCACATGCACTGATAAAAATAGCTCCACATTTACCAAAAATAAAACCAAATGCTTAAATTTCTATCCCCTGAAAACTCACAAAAAACACAATTTTTTACAGAAAAAAATATAAAAATAGATAGAAAGACCAAAACATATTTTAGTGTATATATCAACAAAGCTTGATGTAATTTTTCTGTAACTAAACACAGCATAACACAGTTTAATTTGACAGCAAATTTTAGCAATATAAATAAAGTTATTTCACTGAAAGTAAACAAAGAGCAATAAAGACCAATCCAGTTATTGATAAGCCCTCATAACATGGCAGATTTCCTTTTGGAGTTTACAAACAATTCTGGGCTTTAAAACACAAAAGATTATATTTAAAATGAAAACTAAAAAGAAAATCTTTCAATCACTGCTTCCCAAGAGACTCTTTCCATTCCAAAACAGTCTGTCCAGAGGCTGGACAGTACCATTTTCCCTTAATCTGTGTGTGGCCAGTGCTTTTGTTTTTCGCCTGACCACAAACTGAACACTGATAGTGGTAGTCCTGCTTCCATTGACGCTTTTTGGGAGGCTCCCCTCTTGCCAGGCGTTCCTGGTCTTCTAATTCTGCCCTATTCTGTCTCCACTTCCTGTACCGATTCATGTTGGCTGGAGCCTGATCTGATGGTGATGATGATGCTGAACCAGCAGCAGCTGCTGGGATGGATGATTGAACCAGAGAAGATGGCAGGGGTGGGAACTGTCCTTGTCCAAATGAGGTCAAAACTGGAGCTGGTGGACCGTAACAGAAACCCAAAGAAGCGGATGGCGCTTGTGGCATCTGGTTCTGCTCACAGTAGGACCAAGCAGATGATGGTGGCTGGTCAGTCTGTGGATACAGGAAGCTGGGAGGAACTGCGGCCTGTGAAAAGAGTCCTGGCTGGTATGAGGGAGGATATTGCTGTGCGGAGCCAGCTTTACCACCAACCCGTTGACGGATCAGTGCCTCGCCTTCTCTGTTTTCAGGTTCTTTAAACTCCATACTTGTATGTCCATGTTCCACAGGAAGGGAGGGGAACTGTCTCGCTTCTGGAAAGGAGGTGTCAGCCACGGACACCTTCGGAGGAAGATTCACACCTTGGAGAAGAGTGTCCCTGTCTGTTCTCTTCTGCCGCTCATGTAGCCTGAAAGATAATAGAACATAAATTGTTTCCTTTCAAAGTCAAGCCATCTTTGAAGTGCAATATCTGTTAAAAATAAAGGACATCTTACCAAGCACACACAGTGGTATTGTTGATGGTGACCAACAACAAGTTGGTCTGGTCCTGTATGGGCCTGGAGTCCTCAAGTAATTGTTTGATGTGGCAGTACGTCTGAACAATAGACTGCGGGATGGGTAAAACCTTCCCCTTGCTGTCTTTTGGCCGGTTTCTTGCTTGCTGATATTCTTTGAACAGCTTGAGGCAAATGCACTCAGACACTCTGTTTGAGTCAGGTCTCTGGGCAGCCTGGCCATGGGTCATGAAGAGTCTGTGTGACAAACAGGTCAGTCAATTAGCAGAAAAACACATGCTCATTAACACTGATTTGATTGGAGCAGTAATGAAATGCAGTAGAAAAGTTCTTCTCATTTTGATTAGCTCAGCAAACCTGTATTGATCTCCTAAGCTTAATACTAAGAGAAAAAAATATTGTATTTGCAACACATGACTTGGCTTCCATCAGTGAATATGCAATCAAGTTATTCATTGTGTCAAATATTAGACAGGTTACCTTTCAGCTGCTTGCTGACCAGGTGCAGAGCCACTTCGTTTCCGGGAAGCCCTCCAAGGTCCTGGTAATGTGCTCTTCTTGCTTTTTAACGTGTATTTAGCAGGCTGCTTGTCCATAGCATGCAGGTTAGAATACAGCTGCAAGACATTTTCTACCTCTGTTGTTGACAACGCTGTTATTGTTCTGTTGAGGCTCAAAAGGTACTCTGCCAAGCTGTCAACTGCCTCCCATCCAGGAAAACCTCTGTAGTCACATCGGGTCTCCTTAAAAGAAAAAATAATTGGTACATAGATACAAATATACACACAGTCATTTCTTTTCAAACAAGTGCTGCAGAAGCCTTTTAATCATTTTTGTAAGCTGTTTACAAGCAAGACACCAAAAACATGCAAGGGAGGGGTGCATGAGGACCAGGTAAGGTAACCACTGGTTTAAATAAAGTAGATTAAAGCATAAAATCAAGTACTGTTTCAGATTTATTAAGAAAAAATGTTTAGATGCTGAGAAAGATGGAAAAGGGACACTAAATCAAGCCAAAGCCTAATCTGGAAATATGATTTTATAACAACAATTTTGCAACAATTTTAACAACAAAATTGCCTATTGAACATTATCCAGCAACCAAACAAAGTGTTGCATGCTGTAATGAAACAAAATGAACCCACATAGGTCTCACTCTACCTGGGATACTTGGTCCACCTGGGAAGAGCTACTTGGTCCACTAAAGGAGCAGTCACCAGTAAGCTGAACTCTGGGTGAACCAGCAGCATGAGTGGGAGAGGCAGGACTTGAGTCGATACTGGTTTCCTGTAAACACACAGAAGCAACAGTAAATGTTCCTTATATCCTTGGATTGCCAAAAAAAAAACAACCTTTTTCTCTGCATTCATGATGGCAAGGTATTTATAGTGGCTGGTTATTTGTTTCAGTGTAAAGCCATTATATATTAACGTGACACAGCACTTTTCACATATATTTTCAATTATGTCCATTACATTGGGCTTTTCTACAAAAAACATACTAAAATGGAATGTTATTGTTAAGAAAATGTCTAAATACGCAAATGGCATACACATTAATAAACAATGTTACAAACTCACATTTTTGGCTCTTACAGTATTTATAACATAAAAGTTTGAAATGTTTTTTTCTTTTTTGTTCTTGTTCATCTCATCATCACCCAACTATTCAATAACAATCATCTTCAGTGACTGATGATAATCTCATAAATTATAACAATAGATTGGAAATGCCAATGTAGAAGCATGGAACACATGAGGGTAATTTGCTCTGTTAATAAGACAAATTACTCACTAAATAAAAGTGTAATGTAATTAAAGCATTACCTCAGATGACATGGGAGAAGACTCTACCTGGGGAAAATCAATGTTAGAGGATGGCATTTCCAACTGGCTTTCACACTGTAGCATGTCGTGGGGGCTCTCTGAGAGCATGTCAGTGACGTCACTGATGGTGACATCAGGACTGTCCTCCTCCTGAGTGTTAGTTGGCACCTCTGGCAAAATAACTCCCAGTTCGTTGTCCTGCTGTGGACCTAAGAGGTCTCCTCTGTCTGACTGAGCAAGAAGATACTCCACAGCAATCCGCTCACCTTCAATGATCATAAAGGACATTTGACAATTGCATTGAAAGTGACAAATTTGCTGTACAAAAATTAGCATTTTTTGTGGAATTTGTTAGGTAAATGTCCAATACCTGTGGGACAGCCTGGGGGAACAAACTCTGGCAGGAGGGCATGACCCAGCACTTTGTTGCTCAGAGTGTTGAGGTTGGACATCAGACGAACATCATACAGTTTACTGTGGGATCTGCGACTCATATCTAAAGCTTCTTGGGCTCTTTTCATGTTCCATCTGGATCCACCCTCAAGCATATACATTTGAGTGTGCATGGCATTGCTTCTCCATCCTTAAAAAACAGAGTTGCAAAAATTGGCAGCATTTATGAAATTAAAACTTCTTTGCATTTTTTTTCAGAAATTATGCTGATTAACATATCTAGATGTACAGTTAAAATTCTGGCAGGTGTTACAAAAATGAATGACATCAAATATACCAATTCACAGTTTACCTGGTATGAAGGAACACTGGTGTCGATGAAAGCTTTCAACTGAAGACGAGCCCCTGCCACATCTGAAGGTTTGAACTTCTTTGTCTCCCTTTTGTGTTGAGCGAAGCTTGGTGTACAGTTCAACACCAGGTGGATCTTGGATGCATGGCAGGTGCTTCTGCTGCATTTGCCACACACGAGTCATGCTCTCAGGGTTGATCAGGCGGAGCCCTGAGGTGTCAGTCAGTTCCCACATGGAGTTTAATAATTCCTGAATGAGGTTCCGGGTTTCTTCTACCCCTCTTGTCCTTCTTCTGCAATGTTTAGCAAGCTCACTGGAATTAATGTTGGCCAAAAGTTGGGCGTCAGTGGGAGGATGACCAGCATATTTTTTCTTCAGCTCTGACCTCTTTGCTTCTTTAAGGCAGCTGACATCATCTCGATCCCATTCAAAAATGCAGCAGGACAACTTGGAGCAGAAAGTTCCATAAAGGGGATGATGTTCTGTGGTGAGACCGGTTGTGAATCGCCTCATGAAATGAAAGATGTCAAGCCTCACTTTAGTTTTCCAAGGTCGAAACCACTCAAGCACCGGAGGCACACCTGTTTAAGCAAAAAAAAAAAAAAAAAAAAAAAAAAAAAAAATATATATATATATATATATATATATATATATA